GAGAACTTGGAGAAGAAGGCTGACCCGGCGGAAGAGGAGGCCCACGGCACTCGGGCCGTGTGGTTCTTCTGAATTTCTTCCGCTTTCCATGGCTTTCGACATCTGATCGTAGGCCAAGGGACATGTTGAAAGTTGATGAAAGTATCGATCAGGCCGTGATTCCCACGCCCTCGGCTTCGAGCACATCGCCAGCCGAAGCATTCAGGCGTCTTCTTCAGGGACAGGAAGGGAAGGGACAGCAAGGCCCTGCATCTCCCTAGACAATCTCCTTCACAGCCAGGCCCCAGACCGAGTCGGCGGAGCACGCCGACCGAGATGCCGAGGAGGCCACACGCGGCGTCCAAAGTGCGGGAATGCTTGATGAAGGCTTCACTTGCATGGTGAGTCCAGAGTAATTACACTCTGTTCGTATGTGACTCCTCCACGCGGCAAAAAAGTGACGCACGGAGGCGCCACAAGAGTCGCCTGCCGTAGAGCCGCCGACAGCAGCTGCGTCGCAAGAGGCTGGTGAGTTGCTATAATTTTTGGCGGGACTGATGTATATCGGATAAGAATTGGCAGGAACACCAGCAGCATGGTTGCACATGAATGCCCTGAATTCCTTGCTGACAACAATGCTGTCGCTAACGCAGGCAGCGGCGGCTTCCAAGCCTCCGACGAGCCCATGGCACGCAGGTTCTAGGTCTGTTCCTGAGGGGCTGGGTCCTGTGCATGACCACAGGCATAGGTGCATCGTAAATCGTAGCAAAGCAAAGTTTGCCCTGGGCCAGTATCAGGCCTGAGAACTTGGAGAAGAAGGCTGACCCGGCGGAAGAGGAGGCCCACGGCACTCACAAGTAGGGCTTTGCCCAGGGCCGCGTGGTTCTTCTGAACTTCTTCCGCTTTTCGTGGCTTTCCACATCTGATCGTCGTAGGCCAAGGGACATGTTGAAAGTTGATGACAGTATCGATCAGGCGGTGATTGCCACGCCCTCGGCTTCGAGCACATCGCCAGCCGAAGCATCCAGGCGTCTTCTTCAGGGACAGGAAGGGAAGGGACAGCAAGGCCCTGCATCTCCCTAGACAATCTCCTTCACAGCCAGGCCCCAGACCGAGTCGGCGGAGCACGCCGACCGAGATGCCGAGGAGGCCACACCGCATTGATGAAGGCTTCAAGGCTCTATCCAAAGAAGACCTTTGAGCTTGTTTCAAATGCCATAGAAGGGAAACTCGCTGGCGTCTCTTCGCCCAACTTAGTCTAGACTCAAAGCACGTATTCGTCGCTCGAGATGCCTGGCCCTCATAGCCCCACAATCCAGCCCCTGTAGAGCGTGGAGTACAGCAAATCAACGTGTGACTCCTCCGGTGCTGTGCACGAGTGTGTGAGCTCGCG